AAAGGCTAAGACTGTGAACCCAAGAACTTAAAATAGTAAGTCTATACATTGATGTCTAAATGTTAAGACATTAAAATGTACGTTCCTATGGACCCAGCAATTTCACTTCTGGGTAGGGAAACTGTATGAGAAAGGAAGTGAGTGAAAAGCCTAAATGTCTACTAGTAGGAAAAAGGCTCTGAAGACTGCATCATATTTTCTTGGAGCCAGTAGGCAACAGGTAAAAAGGTAATTAGAGTGGACCTTTAACTTACAAATTAAATTCATTCACAGGAGCTGGATGTAACTCAAGTTGTTCAATTGAGGGCTGAAACTCCTTTACACAGCCTTCAAAGTCTCTCTCCTGTACATAGGCAGATCTCAGTGTCCTTGGAGAGACATTGGCCCAGGATTTCTCAGTTAACCCCCCCACCCCCCAGAAAGGATGTTGTACTCTCCCTTCCAAAACTGCTGGAGGGTTAAACTGTATCTGAGACCATCTGGAAGCACAAGGGGCCAGCATTTGAGTTGTAGTGCAAGACTTTGTATGAAAGTTAAAACTAAAATTCCAGTCATAGCCCAAGTTGTTCATATGTCAGGCCAGTCGTAACTCCAGGGTCCACTGTGCCAGCTAACACTCAGGGTCAGGAGCTTTTCTAACTCCTTCAGGCCCATTAGCATAACTCTTACTCCATGGAAAGGGCACTACTCTGAAGCCACTTTAGAGATAAAGAGAAGAGATGCTAAGGTACCTGCCCAAGAGCAGGGCACTGGTGCGCTTCCCCCGTTTGAACCCAGTGGATCTTGCTGAAGAGTCTGAGCTCTTAGCTATCATGCTGTGTCCCGACCCAGCACCTAGAGGGCCCTGTCCACAGTAACCAAAGGGTCACACCTAACATTTAGCCTAGCACTCTACAAGGTGGCATTGCCTCTCCTAGCTGCCATGTGTGATCCCATTGGCCTCATGGCTACTCTCGGAGGAGGAAAGACATTAACTCCTGAAAGCCCCCTGTATAAAGAAGACAAGTGAAGCCCAGGGAGGTTAAGTAACCCGTGTGGGTCACAAGGCTGGGTCACACGGCTGGGAAGTCACACAGGGTTCAGATCTCTGTGCTGCACTCCAGAGCGTGCACTCCAGCCTCTTTGCCCTAAGTCAGTCTATCACACAAGCTGCACAGTCAAAAAACCAACAGGGCTTGGGCAAACTTTAAAGGTAATGAAATAATACATTTTGTGTAGGTGCATATGGAAGCATACACCAAAAGTACTCACATATGAGAAGGGAAAATGCAAACACAAAGCAGAGTTTACAATATAATTCTAACTAATAAAAAGAAACGTTTAAGCCAGAGGAGTACTGCTAGACGGCGGTTAGCATCTACTGGATCCTCGGATTTGAGGATGGAGTTTGGCATTTGGTAGCTCTGTGATCCTGGGCAAGTTGCTTGACCTCTCTGAACTTTGAGTCATTCCTCTCTAAATTGAGAATAAGCCTATGGTGCTGGTGCCAATGATCCCAGCACTCTGGGGGCGGGGAGGCAGAGAATCACCAAATTCACAGTACCCTTAGCAACTTACCATATCTTGTCTCTGAACTTTTAAAAAGTGGGGTGGGGGGGGGTGGATTTAGCTCAGTGGTTTCGCTGCCTCCTGCACAAGCTCAAGTGCCCGAGTTTGATCCCTGGTACCAAAAAAAAAACCAGGTGGGTTGAGGATGTAGCTCAGTGCTAAGCTCCTAGCTAAATAGTACTGCCAATAAGTAAATAAATTAAAGCAGGCATTCACTATCCCAAAGGGGGTTATATGATTAAATGAGATCTGTGACATAATCCCCTCAATACAATCCACACACTATTATAATGCACAGTGGATATATCATCAGTAACTGACCCACAGTTTTTTGTTTGTAGTTTTTTGTGTGTTTTGATTCTGTTTGTTTCTCTCTTTTTCTTTCTTTTTTTCTTTTTTTGTGTGTTGTTTCCTTTTGATTTGTTTTTGAGATGGGGTCTCAGCCCACGCTGGTCTCAACTCTCGCTCATGCTACAAAAGCCTGCCAGAGGGCTGGGATTACAGGCAAGGGCCACAGTGCCTGGTTGCCCATCGTTTATTATGACGCAACACAATGCGTACACCCGGGTCGGTACAGATTTCTATAATCTGTCGACACTCACAACCGGTCCAGCAGCATCCCCCAAACCCGCTTTTGCCCGCGCTCCAGCCGCTCAGTCCAGTCTCAGGACACGTGGGGGGCGGGGTTGCACACGGCGGAGGGACGCGGCAGGGGCAGAGTGCTCGGTGCACGACCCTGCGCACGACACACACAAGACACACGGCACACAGTGTCCCACCTCTGCACCCAGCCCCTTGCGCGCGCTAAGGCTACCCCGAGGCTCACCTGGGGCGGCTTCTGGGAACCTGCGCCCGGCGCTCCGTGTGCATTGGCCGCTGCGCTCAGCTCTACGGCGTCACTCGTGACTCGACTCGGTGCCGGGCGGAGCGTTTGCACTCGCCACGCCACCTGTGGCCTATAAAGGCAGCGCGCCCAGCACTCGGCGCCACCACGCCTCCTCCAGTCCTCCAGCACCCACGCGCATAACTTCGGACTCCAGCCGCCGCTCTGCTCGCCATGGACCCCAACTGCTCCTGCGCTGCCGGTGAGGGGCTTGGTCTGGTGTGGGACCGGGGTGACCTGCGGGGCCAAGCATACAGCTAAAGAGAGGGCTTCTGGCCTCTCTGTGCAATACACCAAACGACCCTTCCCAGAGCGTTTGGTGTATTTCTGTCTACTCTAGATCACCCGGAGCCCCCCTTTCCCAAGAAGCCATTGAGTTAAAGGCTTGCCAGGGCTCCTTTGTTCAGTCCCGCCTTCAGGGACCATGCTCATCTGTGCCTTTCTCCTCCTCCCAGGCGGCTCCTGCTCCTGCGCTGGCTCCTGCACCTGCAAAGAGTGCAAATGCACCTCCTGCAAGAAGAGTGAGTGGGACCCTCAGTGCCCTCTACCCCGTCTCCGCCCCCAACCCGTGCCCACCCAGCCACACCTTCCTTAGGGGAGTTGAGCAGTCCGGGGGCGGGGGGTGAGGTCCCGGGTCTTCCAGGTGGAAGTTGGCGCCTCCACAGTGATCTCAGTGAGGGAGGGCGGGAACCCTCATCCCTTCTGCCCAGGGCTCATCTCTGCCACCCTCTCTCTGCCCCAGGCTGCTGCTCCTGCTGTCCTGTGGGCTGTGCCAAGTGCGCCCAGGGCTGCATCTGCAAAGGGGCGTCTGAGAAGTGCAGCTGCTGCGCCTGATTGTACCCAGCCCTGTTCCCACGTGTACATAGAACGACAGATACAAACCTGGAATTTTGTTTTGTTTTGTTTTGTTTTTTACAACTCTGACCCATTTGCTAAGTTCCATTTTCTGTGAAGTTTTGTTTTGGATAATAAAGTTGTTGACTTGATTCCGAGTCTGGATTGGTTTGTGTTCCTTGGAAATCAGGAACCAGAGTGAGGGACTGAAGTAGGAGTTTTGGGGTCTGGATTGAAATGTTAGTCCCTGAGTTCTAGGGTCTGGGCTGAGTGTCTTACAGCAAGTTGATTAGCTCACCTAGGGCCATCTCTAGAACAGAAGAGCAGTGCACCAGACCATATGGTGGTTGGGGGTAGGTACAGCATGTGCCCAGCACAGAAACTTCTCAGTCTGTATTCCCAGATTTTTCTGCTCAATTTATGTTTCTCTTGGATTTTAGGATTAAAATGACTACAGAGTGGAATCTTAAGCAGAGATATATGAATTCTCTCCCTTCTCCCCTGTCCTGGTACTAGGAATTGAACCCAGGGAGCATTGAGCTACATCCCATACCCTTGGAAATCTTTTTTTGTTTTGTTTTGTATGAGGGATCAAACTCAGGACCTTGGGTTTGTCAAACAGGCAAACTCTGTGCCACTGAGCTAAATCCCTGGCCCGCCCTATGAAATTTTGAGACAGGGTGTTAACAAGTGGCACAGGCTGGGATTGAACTTTGCTCCTCCAGCCTCAGCCACCGGGGAAGCTGGGATTACAGGCATTCACCATTGCACATGGCCTAATTGCTTGCATCTTACATGGAGTGTCACAAACTAATGAGGAGATTATATTTTCTATCAGTTACAGACCTAAATTTGGGGAAAACAAAAGAAAGTCAGGCATGGTGGTACACATACTAATCCTACCAGTTCTGGAGGCTGAAATTGGAGGACTGAAAGTGGCCACCCTTAGAAAAAGGCCAGGGTTGTAGCTCAGTAGTAGAGTGTTCACCTAGCACATGTGAGCACATGGGTTCAGTCCCCAATACCCATCTAATAAATAATAAGTGTATGGGTTCATAAAATGCAATAAAAGGAAAATACAAAATCCATTTCTGATTGAACAGGAAAATTTATATGAATATATGGAAAACAAAATAATAGGGAAAATAAAATAAAGAAAATCACTACATTATATAGTGCCATACACTGAAGACTATGACCTGAATCACACACTGTATGGCCTGGACTCCCTACAAGGAGCCCTCAGTCTTGACTTGTGCAGGGACACTGCTAGGACTCTCCCTACCCACCAGAGCTCCCCCTCCTGACTTTGCTGGGAGCCTTGGGAAGTTCCTCCCAAGCTGAGCTCAAATCTGCTCCTCATTCCATCCCAGCCCCTGGCTACTTCAAACTTGCAAAGTGCCTGGGGATTTGGTGAGAACTGCCCAGGAGGTTTCTGGAAAGACAAAGTGGACACGAGCATCAGATGCAGGTAAGGTACTTAGTGTCTGCCCTCACACAGGGTGAGGGTGAATTCTGCGGTTTGGAGGGTGTGGTGGTGATCACTGGAAGGACTGAGGCTGGGTGGCTTATAATTATAACTGACAGTTAGTGCCCCAGGGTATCTGTTGAGGGAATGCGATTTGAAGTTCTGTCCAACAGGAAAATGAGTCTTGGGCAGAGGTGAGGACTGGCTTCCCTCTGATTCCCCATGAGAACCCAAGTCAGCCAGGGCCATGGGCGGGATCCGTGTCAGGCAGTCCTTGTTCACAGCCCACTTCACCACTTAGTGGCTGTGCGGCCTGGGAAAATCACTGACCCTCTCTGAGCCTCCAGTTCCTTTTTGCTGGTGGGGAGAGATCTCAATGTAGAGATTAAGTGAGTGGACTGGCTCCTGACTAGGGCTTAATAAGCTGTGGCAATGATGATCGTCCTGTCCACATGGACTTCTGGAGAGAATCCTGTGCCAACACACTCACACGCACTTAGCCAAAGAGCTGTGTGCTTCCCACTGCAGCTCAGTGTCCCATTTTCAGTCCTTGCCTTTCCTGTGGCATCGGATGCTGGGGAAGGCAACACGCTGCAGGCAGCTGGCCTGAGTGCTGATCTCACCTGTGTTACTTGGACCTGGGTAACCTGACCAAGTTGTGGCTCCCTTTTTATTATTGTAAAGGGGGGCTAATTGAGTCTCGTTGGTAAAAATAAATCTAAAAATGTGTATTCTCGCTTCATACAGGTAAGCCAGGGCTATGGCACCTCACTGAGTACCCAGGACTGTCTTCATCAAACCCCTCAGCCTCTGCCCAGAGGTGTGGAGAGTCACTCATTCTTCCTGCAAAAGTGTGATTGATCCTGGGGATATAAAGCCCTGAGGAAGGCAGTGCAGGATCTCAGGGCATGGAGAGGAAGATTCCTGTCATTTCTGCTACCACCTACACCTGAAGTGTATTTAACAATTTTCCTTTAAATCATTCATATTTTCATATACATTTCTGTTGCTATTGGTTACTCCAAGAAATAGTATTCATAGATGTATTTAAGTTGAAGAAATTGAAGGAGTCATTCATTTTAAGAAACTGGCCCAAACTGGGATGGGTGGCACACACATGTGATCCTAGCACCCAAGGGGCACGAGGCAGGAGGATGGAGAGTTCAAGTCCAACTGGGCTATTTAGTGAGTTAAAAAGATCTGATCTAAAATTAAATTTTAAATAAATTCTGGGAATGTAGCTCAATGGGGAGGGCCTTGGTTCTATCCCTAGACCTGCACTAATTGAGTGAGTAAGTAAGTAAATTGGTTAGTGTGCTGTAGGGGCTGACGGATCCGAAATTTTCAGCGCGAGGGGACAGCCTGGAATCTCTTCAGGGTTTAATATCAAGGCAGCCTAGGGGGAGAATCCCTTTCTCACTCTGGGACCTCAGTCTTTTAAGACCTTCTACTATTTGAATGAGGCCCACCAATACTGTGGTCAGGAACCTGCTCTACTCAAAGTCTACTGATTTCAATGTTAATCACCTCTAGAGGACATCACAGCAACATCTAGTCTGATGTTTAAGTAAGGAATAGGGGCCCCAGAGCCTGAGCAAACTGACATGCAAAATTAGGGGTCACATTCTCTAATGAATTTTTTAATCTCTATTAAAATTTAGAATCAGAATCAGTGTTACATCCAATCATACGTTAGTTAAAAAGACCAAGGTTGAGACTGAGGCTTGGTCTGTTTGAAAGATTTCAAGCTCTAGACTGGTATTCACTATATACCTAGACAAAAAAAATAAAAGTGTGTGTTTGTGCGTGTGTGTGTGTGTATCACTGAGGATTGAACCCAGGGCCTCATTCATGCTAGGCAAGCATTCTACTACCAAGCTACATCCTCAGACTTTTAACGATTTTATTTGGAGGCAGGTTCAAACTAAGTTGGCCAGGCTGGCCTCAAAATTGACTGTGGCAGCACAAGCCTTTAATTCCAATTCCAATAGTTAATTGGAATTTAATTCCAATAGTTAGAAGCTGAGACAGGAGAATTGTGGGTTTAAGGCCAGCCTGGACCACATAATGGATATTGCTAGATGAAAACATAGAAAGAATGAGAGGCTGGGCGAGGAAAGGAGGGAAAGGGAAATGAAAAGAAGGAAGAGATCTCTATTTTTGACTTTCTTCTCTTGGGAAGCTGGGTGGATACACCCAGAGGCATCAATGCCTAGGCGTATAACCCAGAAGTTACCTGCACTCCTTGTGCCTTCATTTTCCCACTAGAAAAATGGCCTCCAAACCATATTTCCCCCTTTGTGTGGTTAGGAGAGTGCAAAGAACAGAAGTGACTCAACAGGGCTGACATGCACCATGTTATGCAGCAGGAATATTAAAAGGAAAAGAACCACGTTTCCTGCGTTCTTATTTTTAGAAGGTCTGCACATAACCTGCCTGATCCCTCCCTTGAGGGAATCCCGCGTTTTCGAAACTGCCTTCCCACTGCCTTCCCGGAGTGGGATGGGCCACTAGGCTGTGGCAGCCCCAGGAGAATCTCAGGCAGAGGAAGACTGGGAGACTGCGCCTAAGTGTGTCTGTGTACTGAAGACCTGAAACCCAAGGACTGAGAGGGAGCAGGGGCTGGCAATGCGGGAAGCGGTGAGTCACAGCCACACCAGTCCTTTGCGAGGAAACTCCCTCTTCTATTCCCCACCAGCAGGGATCCAGGATGCCAATTCAAGGCTGGGACTGCACACAAACTCAAGTAATGACTGAGAGCCAGCGCTGGGGGCTGGAACACCAGCGAGGTTCCCAGGTCTAGTTCCAGGAACTCCCAGGAGTGGCGGGGCAGGCGCAGCAATCTGGAGGAAATCGGAAAGGGGCGGCCGGGAAGTAGGAAACAGCGCTGGGAAACACGCGTAGCGCCTTGCGATGCAAGCCTGGGTCAAAGGGTCAGCCTGGCCATGAGCACCAAGCCACATTCGGGGAACCCCGCATTCCACCCGGCAAGTGCCCAGGAAGTGAGTAAGGCCCTGTGACTTCACCGCTAGCACCCACAGGGGCGGAGCCTTTGAGCCAGCCAACCCTACTGAGCAGGGAGCATGCTGCTTCCGGCTCAGACCAGCCCTGGCTGAGACACAGCCTGTGCTCCCCTGGCTTTGCCTCTGGCACATCCCAGAGGGCTCTGGCGTTTTGGGGAAGGCATGCTGTACTTAGGCCACCTCCCAGCCTGGGACAGATGTCTCTAGCAGGGAGGACGCATTTTGAGTATTGGTACAGAATCTAGTACTTCTTCCTAGTTCTAATGCTTTCCTTTTTGTTCCAGCACCTTCATTAGACCTTAGCATTAACATCTTCGCAGCTTGCTAGCTCAAGGTCCTGAGTTCGATCTCCGGTACCATAAAAACAAAAAACAAAAACATCTTCGCAGGTACTCCCATATCAGAGGCCCGAGTATTTCAGATTCATAACTGCCCTGCTCCTCATCGCCAGACAGCTGGGGTTGCCAGCTGAGCCCCGAGAGCTCTGTCCAGGGTCAATAATGAGCCTGCTTTCAAAGAAATAAGGAAATCGTTTCTTTTAAGTGATCATGGCCCAGGAACACAGATTCCAGTGACTGTGATTGACATGTACCACCATGGAAGATGTTACATAAAATTATATAATCATGGAAAAGATGAGAGTCACAAACCAGTTTGTTTACCAACCAAATTGGCAAAAATGGTACAGCAAAACAGGGAAATCCATGCTATAATTTTTGCATTTTTAACTTTAGCATAGGTGGAGGGTGAAGGTCAGCTACCAATACAATCCAAGAAATTTGCCTAATAGTAAAGGGAGTGGTAGGTCAGACACTAAAGTTAACATAAATAGCTATTCAAGGTCCAAGATAATTTAGAGTCTTTACCTATTGTATTCTTTCCTTCCACAATTCCAGTGTTCAGCGAAGGTCAAGCATTTTGTACGATCTGTAATATATTCTAAGCTTCTTCACAGGCTTTCAATTCACATCAGCATTTGGGTTGCCTGCATTGAAGGTGAGGCAGGGGACATTGCCTCTTTTGGATTAGGGCATAAGGTCTATAGCCTAGCCTGTGGTGGAGAGAAATGGAGCTCCCCTGCTTGATTGGGATTCATCTGGCCTCTCACTGAGCCAGTAGCATGTCTGCCTAGTGCTGTGTCTCCTGATCGTGCTGCTTGCTGGCTCACTGTCCTTTTGCTGCTCCCAGGTGGCTCCTACACAGATAGTGTGGTATTCTGGGAATTTGAGAGCTGGCCAGGAGACAGGGGAGTGATCCCAAGCTGAGCCCTTAGATACATAAAATCAGGAAAGTGTCTAGAGATATGGAAAACACAGTTCAGCATTATCCAGGCAACACATGGATATTAATTTGTTCCGGATGAAGTTCTTTGTGTGTGTGTGTGTGTGTGTGTGTGTGTGTGTGTGTATGTGTATGCAGGGCAAATGCAGATTCTGACAAAGTGTGGTGGTGTTCATTATGATGGAGTCAGAATAGCTGGTCAGCATGCCTATTATTTCAGCTCTCTGGAAGGATGAGGCCAGAGGATCCAGATTTGAGCTCAGCCTGGGCAATTCAGCACAGGGGCGAGGAAAAAGAAGCCATAGCTTACTAATCCATGACTGCAGTTCCCTGGCTACTTGTTAAAGGAATTTCTGTGTGATGGGCCAATGATGAATCATGTGGCCAGGAAGTCAGGAAGGGAATGCCTGCAGGTGGCCCATGAGGAGCAGGTTTCAAAATGCAGCTCAGGGATGGGGCATGGCTTTTGTGTCCAAAAGTCTTGGTTAACAGCCTGCTTTGCCCCTTACTGCCTGTGTGGCCTGGACAAGTTCATGAACCTCTCTGTGCCTCCTCTCACCATTGTTCAAAGAAGATCACGATCATATCCCAGTAGGGATGCAATGTGATGGTGGCCTGGCTCCTGCCTCAGGCTTAATACTCTGGCATTAGAGCTATTTGGTCCCTGAGGTCTTTCTGCAGACAGAATCCTATTACCTTCCCTCAGCTTCCTTGGAAAATACCTATCTGCCTGGAAGCATTGCTCTGAACTACAACTTGCTGCTGGGCTTCAAATCCTGCTGACTGGGGCCAAGAAAGTGTGCATGGCCTCCTGACCAAATGCATCTCAGAGAAGCCAGCACCCAAATTTTTAGACAGACATCAGCATTTCTCACACTGTTGTGCTTTGCTCTAATTGGGAACCAGTAAGGCCAGGAATATGCACAGACTGGTGAGACTGTGCTGTCTTCCAGGGGAGTGAAGCGACTTGCCCAAGGTCACACAGCTCAGAAGTAAAGGTATAAATGAGCTCAAGGTGCAGCTGTCCTCATTCCCTGGCCAGAGCTGGCAGAACATGTCCCTGGATGCTACACTCAGCTCTCAAGGCTCAGAGTGGGAAGGGCCCATAGTGAGGGAGTTCAGTTGTGCTTGAGAGATGATGGTATATAAAGTCAGGAGAGGAACAGAGCTCTGTAGAGGGATCTATCTGCCAGCTTGGTAGCCTTCCCATTACCGCCTCTGTGCCAATTTCATTGTCCTGGTCATTATACAGGACAGGGAGACATAGGGTGCAGGGTGAGAGTGTTGTGAGTTGTACCACCAGCTTGCATGAGTGCCAATCCTACATGTGTCATTTATACCTGGCTGACATGACGTCTTTCTGGCTCTCTTTCCTCCACTATGCCCTATGAAAGGTGCATAATAAAAGGTTCTGACTTGTAGGATTAAATGACTTAATACATAGAAAACTTAGAATACTGCCTGCAAGTGATGATTTGTTCATAATATTGGGTATTGTTTTATTGTTGTGTGTGGTGTGTGAGTGTTTGTGTGTGTGTGTTTGCATATAGTGCTAGGGATTGAACCCAGGGCTGAGTTTCATGCTAGGCAAGAGCTCTACCACTGAGCAATAAATTATTTTGAGACAGGGTCTTGATAGATTTCCCAGGTTTCCATGAACTTGCAATTCTCCTATCTCAACATTCAGAGGAGCTGGAGTTACAAGTGGGTGCCCCAACATCTGGTAGAATGCAAACTCTTCAACACTAGTGACAATGAGAATCAACCTCATTTGCAAACATCAAGGCAGCTGTATCTGCAACAGCTTCATCTGTTGATCTTGAACTTATACTTGTCTTCAAGATTCCAAGTAGTTGAGATATGTGGAAGACATATCTAGGCCAAATGGAAGATTTACCCTGGACACCATTAGTTCCTTTGTGAATTTGACTGCATTCAGATCCAATGATCCCAGGGTCTACCAGTGGGCTCCTTTGTCTTGCAAATGTCCCTAAGTAAGATAATTTCATAGGTAGTATTTCCCTAAGGCTTTGTGAGAGTGTCAAGATCCAAAGTAATTAAACAGTGTTGGGAGCAATTCTACATAATTTGGGGGGAAAATCATTTCACAATAAAATTATGATGAGGCCTAGTTTTTCTGCCTACAGGAGGGTTATGGCATGTCAAAACATAACTCCATTTTTGCCTCTGGGCATAGCTAAAACCTCAGTGGTCCCTTGATGCTGTGACCCTGCAGAGCAGGATTGGGTCAGTTGAAGACATACTGGGGAGGGGCAAATTCCTAATCAACATAAATTCCTCAACCAACTAGGATTTTCATCAGTTTAAATTCCTCCTTGTCCTAGGATTACCAGTGCTGCCTTCTGAGTCATCTATTACTCCCTTTGTACAGAATAAAGGTGTGGTAAGCTCAGGGTCTTTGGTCTTTGCTTTCCAGAGCAGCATTGATCAGGCCCAAAGCTCAGCTTCTTCCTTAAGTCTTATTTCCTGTCTTTATTAATGAATTCACCTTGTGGTGTCATGGGTCACAGCAGACCAGGACTCACTGCAGGGATTCTGGTAACGTCCCCTTCTCCCCTTTCCCTGTTCCCCACTAAACAGGGCCTGACACAACTGAAAACTTTGTAACCATGAGAAATAGTGAAAGGGAGCATGCTGTGGTGGCTCATTCATATGATTCCAGATGCTCAAGAGGCTGAGGCAGGAGGACTGCAAATTTGAGACCTGGTTGGTTAAATTAGCAAGACACACTCTCCAAACAGAAGGAACTGGGGTTGTAGCTCAGTGATAGAGTGACCTGGGTTCAATCCCCAGTACTGGAAAAATAAATAAAACGTAAAATCTATGTAGGTAGAGATATAGAAGGGCAAATAGGCACTCCCTAGTTTTACACTGAACTCAGGGTCTGCCTGTCACCTAAAATGCACCCCTCCGAGGGGCCTTGCCATGCCTTGAGCTTCTCTGTGCACGTTGGGTGGGGGGAAGAGTGCCTAGGCTTTGGGAAGCTGAGCCAAGAGCCCCCAGACAGATGTTTCCAGCCCAAGCCTCCGCATCTGCCATAGCAGAGAGTAGAAAGGGAAGAGGCACAATTTTGTATCTCCATGCTGTTGTGAACAGGAAAAATGTCCCCAACTGACCTAAGCCAGGACAGGGACAGGCAATACAGATGGGGGGGTTGGGGGAGCACAATCGAGGTCAGTTCTCTGCATACATTTCACTTGTTCCATTATGCAGTTGGCGTAAATACTTGAGCACCTTGGTATGTGAGCAAGGGGCCAGGGATTTAGCTCAGTGGTTCTGCCGCCTGCCTAGCAAGCAGAAGGTCCCAAACTCGATCCCCCGTACAAAAAAAAAAAAAAAAAAAAGATTAAAAAAAAAAGAGATATGTGAGCACCGAGCTGGATTGTACTCGAGCTGGGGGAGAGGCAAAACTGAAGTAAAGGTTCCCAGAATGGTCTGCAGCAGGGAAGGCTGGCCAACTCCAGGAAATCTGTAAGGGGAGGCAGGGGCTCGGTGCAGGGCCAGAGCACAACATGGCCTGTGCTGACACTGGCTGATGACCAGAGAGCAACCACATAGTGCTCAAGGAGCTGAGAGTCCAGATCTTGTAGGAATTGTGCTCTAGGCCCTGCAGCATGTGCTCAGCCCCAACAAGGCCAGTGCTGCCCGCACTGGCTCAGCCCAGAGGCTACAAAGGTCTATGGGTGCCTTTGAGCCAGGGCCAATGCCCCGAACAGGCCTTTCCTGCAGCTCCCCTGCTGCACAGCACTGGAGTTTCCACCTGGACTCACTTGGATTTGAAATGGACCCCCCAACTGCTCCTGTGCCACTGGTAAGGGACAGTGCTTTCTGGCTCTTGGTATTTCCATGTCTTAGCCAGAGGATAGAATGTCTCTTTGGAGGAGGGTATGTTTTCAGGCTGCCTTAGGTGGACTCCTTACTTTGAGTCCCCCTTCTCTGGGCTTCTCCCTTTTGATGCCCCATGGGTCCCATTTCAAGGGGAATGGAGGGAGGCTTAAAACTGCCCTGCTAGTTATCACTGCACCAGATTGGGTCTGGAGCCAGGCACCTTCCCTCCTGTGCACAGTGCTGGAGAGTGCACTGTACTTCCCAGAAGCAGGGTGGAGAAGGTACCCTGAGATTTCATCAGTCGTCCTCTTTGGAACAGATGCTGCCAGGGCCCAGTCTGCAACCCGTGGATGCAGGATGTTGGGGACCCACTACTGTGTCTCTCACATCACACCCAGGGCTCAAGGCTTGTCCTTGTCTTCACAGATGGCTCCTGCACCTGAGCTGGCTCCTGCAGACCCTCAAACTGCAGATGCCCCTCCTACAAGAAGAGTGGGTGTGGGGGCCTCTGGGGGACATCCGGAGCTCTGCTGAGCTGGGAGGGAACCAGAGCTGGTTCTGAGGAACTTCCTCTGGGGAACTGGCTCTTTTTTCCCCCAGGGCCATTGCATTCCCTTTCCAGGGTTGCTATACTGCCCTGAGCTCAAAATATGACTTGAGCTCAGGAAAGACAGTGAGCTTTTTTGCATAGTAGGACAGAAACCCTGAAGGAACCACCTATTGTCTCAGAACAGAGCCATGCTAGCCTTATACAGGGCCCTGTGGAGTGGGATGGGGCATTTTGTGCCAGGCCTGCTGTTGGGACAGGTGCCTGGTTAATGTGCCCTGACCTCTCACTGTCTCCTTTCTTCTCTAGGCTGCTGCTTCTGCCTTGGCTGTGCCAAATGTGCCCAGGGATATGTCTGCAAAGGGGCATCAGACAAGTGCAGCTGCTGTGCCTGATGTGGGGAGAACTTGCTCCCATGTGTACATAGAGTGATGTTACAAACCTGTATTTTTTTTTTTTTTTGGTACCGGGGATTGAACTCGGGTCCTTGCGCTTGCACAGCAGGCAACGAAACCACTGAGCTAAATCCCCGGTCCAAACCTGGATTTTTACAATACAACCCTGACCCATTTGCCAAGATTCTTTTTATATAAAGTATGTGAATACTAAAACTCGATGACTTTACTTTGACTTTGGCTTCCTTTTTTTTTTGTCTTGGAATAAAAGGACTGTGACAAAGGATTGAATTGGGTGTGCACAGATCTGGGTTTGGGAATTAAATGTTAGTCCCTAAGAAACAATGTCTTCAGGCCAGCCCAGGAGTTAGGGCTGGGGTTAGGGTTAGGTCAGGTCACCTGACTGAGCTCCGTTTTCTAGAGAAGGAAAGAGCAGCATGCCAGATTCCGTGGGGGGATGGGGGGGTGATAGCTACGTGGTCCCTTTGGTCCTTGTGTGAAATGTTGATGTCACAGAAGCTCCTCAATCCTTTATTTCTCAACTACTTTTCCTTGTTGAATGTTAGGCTGCAAAGTGACTACAGGGTGTGAAATCCACTCCCCTGTTGTTGGAATTCTTGGAGAGTCTCAAACTGCTCAGTGAGGAACTGGTGTTTTATTTCCTCTCCATCTCAGACCTAACCTTTGGTAAATAAAGTAATGTTAATGGGGCTGGGGATTTAGCTCAGTGGTTCTGGTGCCTGCTTCAAAAGTGCAAGGACCTGAGTTCGATCCCCAGTACCAATAATAATAATAATAATAATAATAATAATGTTAATGCTGGAGATAATGAAATCAAAGAGCAATACACAAAATACCTTTTTTAGATGTAACAAAAATTTCAGTAAATATATGAAGAAATAAGAACACTGAAGATGTGTGCTACCATGTGATACACTGTCCCCCTGGCCAGAGCTGGCAGAACCTGATGTCACTGCATGGTAAACCCTGTCCATCCATGTGTTTTCGTGTACACTGTTTACCAGTGCTAAAAGCCAAAATCAGTCTCACTTTCAGATGATAGGTCTCCCACCACCTCAGCAGCTATTATGTATAGTAGCTGCCCTTTTCCTAGGGTGCCTTGCCCCCTCCCCTGTGTGACGTCATGCCAAGATGGTTGCTCCCACCAAAGAACAAACCCTTCTTCCCAGCATGCCCCTGTTCCCACCTAGAAAGTAACCTAATACTCGCTCACCTCCTACCACATAGTGACATCACTGGCTCCTCCATTCCCTAGTCACTACCTCACTCAACCCCACCTCAGTCCCTACAAACCCCACCCCAGTCTCTATAAAAGACTCTCCCTGCCCCAGCCATATTGCTTTTGTCTCTCCTTTGTTCAGAGACAGCCTGGCAGATCTATTCTCCTAATAAAGGCTTGTTGTGGCCTGGTCTGGTCTTGGTCTTTGGCCCTTTTACCTGACACAGACATGGAAGGTACCCATGATATATATGTATAAAGTGTATCTCTTTTACCTCTCCTGTAACTGACCTTGAGCTTGCCCTCAGATTTCAAGCACCACAGATGCAGAAGACACACCTAGACTAAAGGGAAGCTTCCTCTGGACATCAAGCCCAAGCAGGCAGATGCAAGGATTCAGATGCAGCAACCCACTTCGTTTGCCTGGGACTCTTAGCTAATTAAACTCTTGAAGTTTTCTGATTAGTAAACCTGTCTCATAAATAGTATTTCTACTTAGGATTTATTGTATGTCTTCAAAGATGGAAAGCAATGAAACAGTCCCAGCAGAGTAAACGATTTGCAATGGTGAAAAGTAGTGAAGGAGAGCTGGATGTGCTGGTACAGGAATGTGAGCTACTGGAGAGGCCCAGGCAGGAGGGTGATGAATTCAAGGCCAGCCTGGTCAAATGAGTGAGAGGGAGAGGGGGAAGGAAACATGGATGAGGATGGCAACTTGGTGGTTTAGTGAGAACTCATCTCAAATAAAATAATGATAAAAGACTGAGGATGTAGCTTGATACAAAGGCCCTGGGTTCAGTCTTCAGTGTGGGGCAGGGTGGGTATCAGTGGAGAAATAACTACTTGTCTTGCCTTTTCATTTAATGCAGGATCTGCATATAGCATAAAGTTTTCCCTCTTTGGGGGCATCTTCTCTTTTCAAAACTGCCATCCTGGAGTAGGCTGGCCTGGCTAGGCCACAGGAGCTCTGAGGAGGATCCTCCAGCTGTCCCCAAAGTTACTCCTGGCCTGGAGAATGGAAGGATGGGGTAAGAGGAGACTTGTATCCACTTGCTACCATGTACAGGAAAACAGGACAGAAGGACTAAGGTGAAGACAGGGACATCCAGGCATAGGTGACATAAGCAGGCAGCGTGTCCTATGCACACAACTGGTTCATGGCTCACGGGATAGTGACGAAGTGGCAGGGTGGGCATAAGGTTGTACTCAGACTTCTGGCCAGACTAATTTGACACCCATGGTGCTGGGCTTGGCATTAGGCGAGGCCATGACTGTATTCCAGGGATGCTAGGAGCAAGAGGGAAGGGCAAACTTGGGGAAACCAGTGAGGGGCAGCGGGAAGGCAGAGTGGTGCCCAGCGCAAGGCCCCTCCCTCGAGAGGCAGCTGTTCCCCAAGGTTGTACCCCGTTGCTCACTCACAGTGCATGTGGGATTCGGTGCCTGCCTGGCACGCAGAGCATGCTCAGCCCTGCCCTGAGCAGCTTCCCAGCTCACAGTGCAAGTCCAGGGCTGGTGCAAGGCCTGGGGTGGGGCCTTTGTACCCTGGGGCCCAGTTCCCTGGCTGTAAGACTAGCAGGCAGGCTGAAGGATCCAGAGAACTCCAGAGGATAATCTGCTAGCTGCTTGTCATCTGCTGTCTGCTTTGGGCCTTGGGTCTCACCTAGGCATGACATGGACCCCAACTGCTCCTCACCACTGGTAAGAGATGCCTGGCTCTCTGTCTATGGGTATCCCATTCCCAGCCCCAGGACAGTGTATCCCTGGCTTTGAGGAGGTCACATTGAGTTCTGAGCTCCCTATGTGGACTCACTTTGTGCGATGCTTTCTTTCTGGCTATGCACCTGACAGTATGTGCATTTTCCCTGTGCCTCTCTGTCAAAGTTTGGGGTTCAATGCTGTCCTCCCTGGTGTCACACAGCTGGTCAGTTGGCTGCTGGCTGGGCCCTAGGGCTCTGTGCAGATCTCAAAGTAATCAGGGTGGATGGAAGGCAGAGGAAGGGGCCTCTTTGGAATTGAGGACAGATGGCCCTGGTCTCCAGTCCCAGTCATTCTGGGCTGGGTCTGGGGTCTGTGACCATCCTGAGTGGGGAAGCAGAGGGGGAACTTGGCCTTCTGAGATGAGGAGACAGAAGCTGTGCTTCTTCCCTCCTTCCCCAGTGAGGGAGGAATTTGGGGGATGACCCCTCTCACAGGAGAGGCTGTGGAGAGTTAACATCCACTGCTGTGCCCCCTGCATCTCAGTGTGAGCTCACTGCCTTTCTCCTCTTCACAGGTGGTTCCTGCATCTGTGCCAGCTCCTGCACATCCAAAGGGTGCAAAGGCACCTCCTGCAAGAAGAGTGAGTGTGGCTTCCCTGGGAGTGTGGGTCTGGGCTGAGTCAAAGGTGGAGCCCTGAGGGCAGAAGGCAGGCACAGGCCATGTCCTGCTCCCCACTCCCTTCCTTCAGCCAGGGGTTTAGGATCTGAGATCAAAGACCCATGGAGGTGAGGGAGTCCCATCCTCTCATTATACACTGGGAAAGTGATGCCCAGAGTGGTCACCAACTTCTGTCAGAGTCTGAGCCAGACTTGAACCTAGGTCTGTTCCCCCCAGGACCCAGTAGTGGAGATTGAACCTAGGATCTTTGCATGGAGCTATTAACCCTGCTCTTTAGAAAATGTTGAACTTTGAGACAGGGACTTGCTAAATTCCCCATTCTGGCCTCAAATTTGCAGTCCTCCTGGCTCAGCCCTCCAGAGGGCTGGGATGAGCGGACTGCACCACCAGGCCGAGTTTGGTTTCCTGTTTCTCCATACACCTGGGTCCTAAAGCCCTTAGTGCATATGATCTTGGTGACCACATGTGGTTTCTTTTTTTTTTTCTTTTTGGTACCAGGGATAGAACTCAGCACCTTGTACATGCAAGGCAGGCAGCAGAACCACTGAGCTAAATCCCTGGCCACCAAGTGTGGTTTCTGATCTGCTGGGTCAGCCTTTTCCCATCAGGGCACCTTGAAAGCTACGCTGGTTCCACCAGAGCTGCTCTGACAGAGGCCTGTCTCACCTCATCCTGGATTTTCTCGCCTTGTGGCTGTTGGGGGGCTGGCTGTCCCAGGTCTTCTGCCCTGTCCTGTGCTCAGGTGGGGCTAGCAGCCTTCATAGGAAGCATGGCTTGCCCCACAAATCCACCTGCTTCTCCTGACAGAGGCTCCTCCTGAACAGAGGTTGCTCCAACGGTAGGGACGGAGCTGGCAAACCGCCTGTCAGGGTAGCTGTTGGGTGACACTGCTTTAACCTGACACTGTCTCCTTTCTTCCTCAGGCTACTGCTCCTGCTGTCCTGTAAACTGTGCCAAGTGTGCCCAGGGCTGCATCTGCACAGAGGCATCAGACAAGAACATCTGCTGCACCTGATGAAGGGGGATCCTGCTCCCATGTGTGCAGAGAGTGCCTGTAAAAACCTACATTTTTTCATATCCTGACCCATTTACTGTAGGGAACAGGGAAAGGGGATGTTACTAGAACCTCTGCAGTAAGTCCCAGTCTCCTGTAAGCCATGGCAGCACAAGGTGAATTAACATATTATACAGGAAAGGTCGAAAAAAATGAGACTTGGAGAAGCTGAGCTTTGGGCCTGATCAGTGCTGGCTGCTCTGGATAGCAGAAACAAAAGCCCGGGAGTTTGCCTCACCTTTTATTCAGTACATGGGAGAAACAAATGTAACAGATAACTGGGGAGTGGTGGAATCCCTAGATCCATGAGGAACTATACAGATGAAGATTTGGTTCCTCCCAGGAGGTCTCCCGCAGATGTGGTCTTGCCCTGGAGCATCACAGCATCACGGGATCCTTGAGGTCTCAGTTATGACCATAGGCCAAAATGGAATCTGTCTTGAAATGCCATAGCTGGCCTGTGGGCAGGAAAACTAGGCCTAATCAAATGATTTTTCCCTAAAATTATGTAGCACTGCTCCGAACGACTTACTACATCTTTTTCTATGAAATATGTGAGCAGAATAAACAGATCCAAACTATTTGGCTCCAGGTGTCTCTTGGGAATTGGGGACTGGTTCTAGTTGGGTTGTAGGGGTCCCTGGATGAGGGAGGACAATGGGAGTGGAGTCCAGGCTCAAGGTGTCCTGCATTTGTCCTGGCTCTGGTTGTCCTCTGTGAACTGTACCAGGAATTTCCTCCACCACCTTAATAAACAGTGAGCTGCTGGTCACTGTCCTTTTTATGTCACAACCTACATCCAGTAGCCATTTCTGGTGCACCTACTGCCTACACAGCTGGACATGGAGTTCGCAGTAATGAAAGGAACATAACACCTAGAGTACCTCTCCTGGAGAGACAGTCATGGAATAGGAAGACTTCTAAACAGCAGCCAGGACCGAGAAGCAGATTAACTTGGAACAATTGTTAAATTGTTGATGTGGCTGTAATTGAATCCCAGAAGTTTCAGTGCCCAGTTGACCCTGGAGAAAAAGCCTGGTGAAACAGGTGAGAGCATTGGCTCTGCAGCCAGACTGCCTGGCTGGGACCCCATCCACCACTTAGGCAGGTTGTGTGCCTGTCTGTGCCTCCCATGCCTCTTCTGTAGAGACAGTAATCATGCTGCCCTGGCGGGTTTATTGTGAAGTTGAAAGTGTTCAGTTCCACCCCGGGCACATGTCAAGGGCTCAGTAAGTTCCATTCCTTTATGGTAAGGTGTGATGTTTGACAAATAGTAGGTGACTCATAAGTGTTCTCTACTTAATCCAGTGGGCACTCATGGAATCCTCTTCTGGCTTTAAATCAGTGTACCAGGCACAGAAGATTCAATCATTTTTTTTCCTGGAGATCTTATTCAAGTCTCCTTTTGTGTCAGAACAACTCAGTCCTAGTGTATGAGGATAGGCCCCATGATTTCAGATCAAAGAAAGAGGCAGACAGGTATAGGACTGCACAGAGTACAATATACAGGGACTTACTGATGGAAGTGAACAACAGCAGCAAGACCAGTTGTGTTAGAAAGAGGCATAATTATGGTTTGGAACAAAAGTGACTTCATCCTGGCTGGAATGTATCTGCTTTGTCTTAATATCATACTGAAAATTCGGGCACATCATGGAAGCCAGAGTCTGGTGTAAAACTTCTCATATGATTCTAGCAGTTATATCTATTTATGGTTTGCTGGAAAACTATGTGGGAGAAAACCAACTAGGGTCAGTCTGAGGCAACCATGGTGGTTATGACCCAAGATGGCTGCAGTCCTGTCAAGCTGTATACATATACTGTGGATGGGATTCAGGGAGCATTTACCACTTCAAGATGCTGCTGCTGAGCTGGGCACAGAGCTGCAGAGAGTGAACATTACCAGCTTCACAAGAAGGATCTTTCCACACAGATGCTGGGATAGGCTGAGTGTGAGACATGCGAAGATGGAAGTATGGAAGCCTTGGAGAAGAGTATGACTTCTGACCAGGAGGCTGGGTGATGACCCTGTTCACTCACTCACTCATTGACTCACTCACGTGATCACATCTTGGTCACAGCACATGGAGCATCTGTGGGTTGGCTACAAAAGCAGGAGCTTAACTCTTCCACAGGGGCTGGCAGGGCACCCTGCCCATTGTGGTTGATCCATACTGGATGAAGGCAAACTGAACCAAGCAGATTCTCTCTTCCGAGCTGCAGGTTAGGGGATACACTGAAACTTCTGTATAACTGGACCAAATTTGTGGCACAGTACAGACCTACCCCAAATGATACCCATGAGAATGAACAGACCAAGCACCACGGCTGCCTTTCTGTGAAACTGAAGTATATTTCAGTCTCCTATGGACCCTGTGAGGCTGAACATCTGCTAAAAGAGGTTCCAAGGACACCTTACTTCCTTGTGAATTATGAAAGCAAACCTTGCTTCAGGATTCCTTAGATGCAAGCAACAGAAATGGACTCCAGCTAAATTAGGCAAAACAAATCCTTTGGAAGGGTGTATTGGAGATCCATGGAATTGACTGCCAGGATGGAAAACTAGGCTCAGAAAATGGACAGGAGCTGTAGCTGACCAGACAGCTGGTTGTTTTCCATGAGCTGCTTTTGCCTTCCCAAATATTCCCACCTTTGTCATTGAGCACTACTATAGTGAATGGATTCTTAACTCTCCCTTGAGTTCTTCATACCTCACACAAGACCTAAAGGCCAAGGAAGTCCAGGTAGCTGCAAAGGTGAGGAGGAATATCTGGCCACCTTCAGATTCCCCAGTAGAACCTAGGGCCCTGCATAGCCCTGAGACTCACCCTTATTCTCTTCCTCTACCAGTAAGAATCCTGGCAGGAAACCAGCGAGCAGTTGTGTTGGGAGCAATGCTACATAATTCTAGGAAAAAATCATTTGAGTAGGCCTAGTTCTCCTGCCTACAGCCCAGCTAGGGAGGTTCCAGACATAATTGCATTTTGGCCTCAGGTCACAACTGAGACCTCAGTGATCCCCGGATGCTGTAATGCTCCAGGACAAGACCCCACCTCGGGGAGAAGCCAGAGAGGAACCAAATCTTCATCTGCATAGTTCCTCATTGTTCTTAGATTTTGACTGCCCCCTAGTCTTTTTACACCTTGTTTATCCCAATGTAAAGTACTGAACTCTGCATTTTCACTTGTTACATCTGTTTCCCCATGTACTAAATAAAAGGTGCTGCAAGCTAGGGGTTCTTGTCTTTGCCACCCAGAGCAGCACTGATCAGACCCAAAGCTCAGCTTCTTCTCAGTCTCATTTGTCTACCTTTCCTGTAATTCGCCGTGTGCTGCCGTGGCTCGCAGGAGACCAGGACTCACTGCAGAGGTTCTGGTAATGTCCCCTTCCCCTGTTCCCTACACAGCTGAGGAAATTTAATAGAGCAATTGTTCACTAAAGAGCAAAAGATTTAAGAGGAATGAGCAAGAGATGTGTCCCAGGCCTACACCAGTGGGGAGCAGTTCCCAGGCTCAAGGCATAGTGTCATTGGATTCAGAAAGTAGCCTCCGGAGATGTTGTCCAAAGGGAGCGGTGACCTTCGGGTTTCCACTCAAGTCACCCAGAGTCCGGGGAAGACCTTTTTTTTTTTTTTTTTTGGTTCCAGGGATCGAACTCGGGTCCTTGTGTTTGCAAGGCAAGCAATGGAACCATTGAGCTAGATCCCTGGCCCCCGGGGGAAGACATTCTGTGAGTCATCCTCCCTCTCCCATCTCCTGCTTGTGTGCTTGTTGGCGAAACCCAGCCAGATGCTGTCTCTGAAGTGCCCATCCAGTCCCTGGCTGTGGAGGGGGTCAGGAGACCCTGAAAGATGCTGTGCCCTGACAACAGAACCCACGTGTCTCTTCCTTATCCTCTGCCAGAATGGAGCTAGTCCAAGACTGACTTCTGTCTGCTGGGCTTGGGGGAGGGAGGGTCAAAGAGGATGCTTAAAGCCCCCAATTATTGGGTAGGGAGGGGAGCCAGGGCGGGCATGTGAGGCCCCTGTCTGCAGCTGTGGCCCAGCAAGGCAGCACAGAGTCCCATGGAGAATGGGGTTGGGGGGGGCTTAAGCCATATTCCTGTGTCCCCAGGGGACACTCACCTGGTTCCACCTATGGTATCACAGTACCTAGTGAGTCACCCGCCCAGGGTGATCCTTGTGGGGACCCTTGGTTGGCAGAAAACCATCCATCTCCGGCCCTGGAGAAACCTATGAGGTCAATGAAGCTGCCTCCTGTCCGCCTCCCTCACTGTGGCCCCTGCTCCCTGGCCTTCTTCACCCTCACTGTGGCCCTTCTCTGCCTGCAGACCCCAATCACCTATCAGGAGGGACAGTGGCTGGGGCCTCCAGGAAATCAAGCTGCACTTTTACCTTTTGGGGCCAGGGATCCCTCCCCTGGGCCTCTCCACAGAGACAGACTTGGTGACTCTGGAGTCCCCATGGGAGGAGGCCACAGCAAGGCTGTCCCTGAGGCTTGGCCATATGAAGGAGCACAGGGACTCACCCACTAGGACTCCAGAGGTGGCCTGGCAGAGCCGTGGGATAGGATCAGGGCCCAGCTCCAGCCACCCACGCTGGCCCCAGGTATCACTGCCATTCCTGGGGGTCGGGAGGCACCCCAAACCTGAACAAGGCCACTCTGGAACCCACAGCAGTAGGTCAGGGATCTTGAGTTACCCAGCTAGGGAGAGTTTGTCAGCCTAAGTGGCCAATGAGAGAGAGAGAGAGAGAGAGAGAGAGAGCAGGGCTTCATCCAGAGAGAGGACTTTGCAGGTGGATTCAGTTTCTGGAGGGCCATTGATCAAGCGTGACTGTTGGGAACCCATCTCCCTATTTCCTTTCAGGGAATCCCCTCTGCCCACTGTTCACAGCCAGACCCCTGGCTCCGTCCATACAAGCTAAAGGCCACACTCTTCTTAGCCAGTGTCCACCTTGGGAACTCTGAGGTGTGGGGTAGGATAAGTCTCAGAGGATACTCATGATAGGCACGGGGACAAACAGATTCTATGGGCTGCAAGACCCAGCCTGTGATAATTCCCATCCTGAGGCTACAGCCTTGATTCCTGCCTCTTGCCAAGAATGAATCCCCTGCCTCCTATTTGCCCTTCCAGCAAAAGACCTTTAATTTAATTTTACTGTTTGAAAGTAGTATTTGGACAGACAATGCTTTTGTGTGAAAGATGATGGTAGGGTGAGGGGATTTCTCCACAGCATCACCGGACCATCAACTGTGGTCAAGTTGGTTCCTACCAGAGCCCCCAGGGCCCCAGACTCAGGGCAGAAGAAGGGAGGGGACTGCATGTTACCTCCTGTCCCAGCCAGGATCCTTCCTGTCTGTGCCTGTGAAGCATGGGTGAGGCTCTCTCCGAGCCCTTTTTGCCCTTGGGCTTGTCACTGTCAGGCCTGGGAAAATTTAGAATTCAACATTTGCACCAATTGGAAGTGGGTTACCCAGGTAGAGCTGAAAAAACAAGGCAAAAGCCCCAAGGCAAGCTCTCCTAGAGGGGTGCTGGCCTCCCTGACTTGCCTTACCACACAGGCATGCCTTTGTGAGCCTTTGCTTATCTTGGAGGAGGGCACAGAATAAGAAAAAACCTGGAAATGGAGACTCTTGTGTTATCCCAGATTATATGGAGCCACATGGGGTTAAGCGACAAAGCAAAAATGGGTTTGGATTTATCCATCTGTTCATTCCTGCTTCCTCCCACTCTGCTGGATCTGTGATAGGTGATAGTGATAGCAGATTCCTCTCAGGGACCCACACCATGCCTCGGCCCACACCCTACACTTTGCCATTTCTCTTGGAGTAGAAGCCAGAGTCCTTCCCTTGGCCCTCAAGGCTCTGCATGACTCCTCCCCCAGCCACATTTGCTTAGCCCTGCTCCTAGAGATCACCAAGAATGTCCTGCCTCAGGGCCTTTGCTCCTCCTGCCCCAGTGCCTGGGACATTTGTCAGATGGACTCCTTCCCTCACCTCCCTCAGTCTGAGCCCCTCGCCTTTGGAACTCCATGGCTGTTCCACGCTGTACTTTTTTCCCATCTGCTCTCCTCTAACTTTTTGGGGGGGAGGGTGCATAGGGCAGGGTAAGGTCTTACTATGTACTATGTTCTAGCTAGATTCAAACCAGTCATCCTCCTGTCTCACCCTCCCAGAGTGCTGGAATTGTAGGCCCGATCCCCCTTCTATATTTTTATTTGTTGCTTTGTCTCTTCCCTGGACTGTATGCATTCTCCATCAGGGCAGGGATTTAATTCATTCATGTTTTTGGTACTGGGGATGGAACCTAGGGCTTCATCATACTAGGCAAGTGCTGTACTACTGAGCTTCTTCCCCAGTGCCCAGCCTGTTCTAAATTTTATCTTGGGAAGAGGTTTTGCTAAGGTGCCCAGACTGACTTCAATCCTCCTGCCTCAGCCTCCTGAGAAGCTGGAATGAAGGGATGCACCACCATGCCCAGTTTTTCTTAAAATGGAAAGTTCTTCTTTACTGAAGATATTAAATGGGAGGGTATAGACATAGGAAATAAGAAAGACCGCATAAATTTACAAATTAAAGATCTGTTTCCATGATAAAAATTAACATTATTTAACATTATTAACAACATTATTTAAGCCATAGTTCTGATAAAAAGATGTTTTATAGTTTTTTTTTTAAAGTTCAATATAAAAAATAAGTTCAATATTAGTGCCTGGCACACAATGGATGCTCCATAAAAAGAAATAAGTAAGGCCAGGACTGTAATCCCAGTATGCTGGGAGGCCAAGGCAGGAGGATTGCAAGTTCCAGCCCAGCCTAGGCAACCTAGCAACTTAGAAAAAACTTGACCCAAAGTAAAAAAAAAACAAAACGGGGCGGGTGGTGGTGGTGGAGCTGGAGCTATGGCTTAGTTTGAAGTCTTTGGGTCTAATCTCTCATACTGGAAAAATAATTTTTAAAAGGAAGAAATGAACGAGAAGTCTGCCTTGGTAATGTACCCTTGGGTACCCATTGGGCAGGAGGCAGTGGCGCAAAGGCCCTGGGACTCTCAAAGAACCCCATGTGGGAAGGGGAAGATAC